GACCAGGGCCCTTTCATGCTCCCCCGCAGAAAAAAAAACCGATTCCGCGCTCCCGCCTCCAGAAGCTGCGTCTGACACCACACGGGGGCTTATTACAGTGCGTCTGACCCTTATGTTGCATGCAACCAGAATCAGACATTGCTTTTAGAGGTGGCAGGAACCTTGGAGGGTGAATCCTGGGTAAGTCTGCCGTCCAGAACTTTCTTACAGGAAAATGCCACTTGGCTGGTTTTTAGCAATTGACAAAGCAACAACAACAAATATTTTTTAAGCCTGTTCATCTCCAGAGGATCACCTACAGGCCAGACACAGCCCCGGGGGGCTGTGGTGTTCTGGTATAACCATTCATGAAAAAGCACTGTGCTATTTCTGCTTCAGAGCCCCTGCCTTCGGTTCACTGTGCCAGCCAGTGGTCAGAGTGGAAGAAAGGGAGCCGTTTGTTTATTGCTACAAATCATATATTCCTGCCCACACTCCCCCTTCCCTCCTCATTACCAGAATACCAGAACAGCAGGCACAGCGCTAGTCAGGAACTTAGGGAAAGGAAGAACTGGTTCTGGCCTCTGATAAAATCAAGCTTCTTATCAAAGAAAATGTGCTTGAAACTTGCTACGTGAGTTAGTATAATAGTTTTGCATCTGACGATAGACACATTGGACCTACACAATGCACACGGGGTCCTCCCGCTTATGACTGAGTTGTTTTAAGCTCATCCTCAGCGTCACAAACAAATATTTCCTGCAAAGCCACAGGCATCCTAGCTCCGAGCGGACCAGGCAGATGACCGTACTGCTCAGCCAGCAGAACTTCAGAAACACAGGCCCAGATTAGAGCACTTTCTACTGCATCAAACCACAGAGGAAAACAGAAAAAGCCACACACTTACCGCTTGTGCTTCCACTGGCAGAGGTCTAGCCAAGTGTCCGGGTTTCTGCTCAGCCTTGTAGAAATTTCGAGAGCAGGCAAGCAGCTACTTCTCCAAAATCAGGACCACTCTGAGCCTCTCCCTTGGTAGAAGCAAATGCTAAGGCGCTATTTAGCTAAGGAAACAGGTGGACTTCACCTTCTTTAATTTAAAAAAAAAAGGTGCTGGCCATCTTTAGCTCAATAAGGAGATCACCTGGTACAGGTGCCCCCAGGCTTGTTAAGTAACCATGGGTCTCAGTGGCACATCTGAGAGCTTGCTCCCCAGCAATTATCAGTTTGGCCCAGATAAACTCATAAAAATTCCCTCCAGATTGGGACGTCTCTTTTGTTGACAACCAGGAGACAGAAGTGGCAGGATTTCTGGAAGGTGATATATATCACTGCGTCAATGTGCCTTTCTATTGGTTCCTCTCACAGCGATTGCTTTCTGATCGTGGATTAGTTCACTGTACATGCCAGTTCCTACCAGGAAACAGTGTTTTTTTTGCCAAACAACATGCGGGGGTTGGTCTTATCTTACTTTGCCATGTTTTTGCTGAAGTCTCTTATCGATGATTGACTGCTTTGATCAATCTACCTTTGAAAAGGGACTAGTGTATCTCCCTCTTGTTACCGATAGTGCATATCTGAGCCAGCTACTCCTACACAACCAGATGCTCACAGCGAATGAGAAATAAATACGGAGATAAATGAGGATTCGCAGCTCTTCCCTCTTAGGGTTCTGATTTCACCCCAGGTGACTTATAATTCAGCCCGCTTGAGAACACCATCCATTAACCAAAGGCGGGAAATACATTAATCTAGAAAAGAAGGGTTTCTGCTGAGATCGCTGGGTTTTCTGAATAACTCGAACAGAAGATGTTTGAGTAGCCATATTTTCACCACCCAACCCCAAAGCAAAGCACTCAAAAATCTCAGTCTTTCCTGAAATGATCACACTCCCCAGCCCAAAATCCATGCGGAGGAGAAAAGTCCGCAGGGAAAAGGGGGCCTTGCAGGGCTGCCCAGAGCATCCTGTTTTTTAAATTGTCTTTTAATGAAGGGTCCTCGCTCTCCTTTTCCACGGCACATGTGTCTGCTGAGCTCACAGACAGAATACTTTCTACTTCTAAAGCTTTATGGAATCCATCGGCTTTTAGGAGAAAGACTTTCTTTCCAAACCACTCTAAAGACACAACACGATCCATAATGAAAACGGCTGTTGCTTCAAAGGGAGGTTCACCCCATTTACTTACAACTCCATTAAAGCTTAAAAGAAATAAACCCAAATGCTTTGAATCTGTGCGACCACACCGGTGAATTAATTATAGGTCCTTCAGGGACATTGGAAGCATTGTAAACCACCTTTATAATGGATCAAAATACAAATTTAAATGCATGCAGGTCGGAGAGAGAGGAAAACTGAGAAAGTTTCGTGACCATGACCTTAACTAACATCTGTAAATTACTCCCCTCACCCCACCCCTCCTGGAGAATGCAAGCCGATCTATTTACTCCTGGCCAAGAAGAAAGGAGGAAGGGCGCCCAGGTGCTACAAGAAAACCGTTCAGGACAGGGACCAGCGCCAAAGGCACGGGCCACCTGGATGAAAACTGAAATCCAGGCAAACCCGGCCCAGGGAGCCCCAGCTCCTGACTGAACTTCAACAGATGCAGAGACACGTCCTCCTGCCCGCTTGGGTATACAAGACGTGAGGGCAGCCTCCAACACTCTACAAGCCTGGGATAGCGCTGGGGCCTGAGGACCACAGCAGGCGCAGGAGCCCTAGTAAATTCGGCTGAGACGCGCCCCGGCCACCCGCCTTCAGCCACGTCCTGGCCCTGCGCCCTTAGCCCGCGCACTACGGCTCAGCGCTTCAATGTCTCCATCGGCAAAAAGGGGACCATCCTGGCTCCTAAGGGGCTGGTGTGAAAAATAAAGGAGGCGGCAGGAATATGTAAATAAATAAAGACTATGACATTTTTGTTGTGACCACGGCAAATGACTCCAACAGAGGCTCAAGAGTGCGGGGGCCGGAAACGCAAACTTTTCTCAGGGGGTCACACTAATTGAGCCTTCACGGGGACTGGGGAGACCTTTGTCCGCGTTCGGCCCCGCCCGCCGCCCGCCGGCCCGCGATCCGCGCCACCTTTCCCGCGGTGGCTGCCGAGCAGGGCGGGGCGCCCCGCGGCGGCGCGGGCCCGGCGGCGGGGAAGGCGGGAGCGCGAGCGCACCGGCGGGCCGCAGCCCCCAACGGCTCGGCCGGCTCGGAAGGCGGCTCCGGACCCGGAGCACCGCAGCCTCCACCGCAGCTGCGGGCCCTGGCCGCGGCGAGCCCAGCGGCACTAGCCCAGGGCCGACTCACTCTCCACGAGGGCCCAGGGGGGCGCAGCGCGCAGACCCGGGGCGCCCCCGGCGCCCGGCCGCCGCGCTCAGCCCGGCCCCCCTTCGCGGCCCCAGCAGGTGGAGGCGCCCAGCGCGAGCGCTCCGGGCCCGCGGCCCCCTCCCGCCGCGCGCCGCGCGCCAGCCCGCGCGGGCGCAACTTTCTTAAAGGGACAGGTGGCCGGAATCCGCGTCTACCTGGGGCCGGGACTTGGCCTCCGGGCCCGTCCCCCCGGTTAGGGGATAGAGGGGGTCGCAACAGATCTCTCCACCCACCCACCCCCTTTCCCGACGGGCAGTGACGGGTTGCCAGTTTTAATGCACCCAGCATCCTTTTGCAGTTTAGTTCTTTTGGCCAGATCGCCCTCCCACTGCTCCTCAGTGCAGGCTCGCGAACTCGTAGTTGCTGCCACCGTGGGCAAAGTTTGAAGAGGGGTGCCGCTATGCCTGCGCCCCACCCCACCTGGAGCCCCGGGGCGTGCTAGGCTGCTGCGGCTGCAGCTGCTGCTTCTGCTGCTGCTGGGAAACGCCCGCAGCCATCCCCTTGACCCTGCCCTGTAACTGACCCTAGGGGAAAAGACCCCGCACGGCTACTGCGCATGCTCTGAGCTGGACAGCTCCAGAGAGGGAAATTTAAAAACGGTTCTTGCAGCGACGGCGGCCAAATTGCAGAACGCGAGGGGCGAGCGAGAGGGAGTCCCCCCTCCGAAACCCCCGCCCGCCCCGGGAGCGCGGGTAGCGGCGGCCGGGCGAGGATCGGCTCCAGGTACCGCCTTGCAAGGTCGGCTTTGCTCCCTCCTCCCTACTCCGGGGAAGCGCCCTGCATCCCATTACCAGGCTGCAGCCCCGGGCGCCAGGGCTGCGGGGGCTGCCTTATTCTGTCCCCCCCCCTTCCCGGGAACCCCTGAATGACTTTTGGGGCGGATCTGAGAGTCTTGGGTGGGTTTCTGTGTACAGTCCAGACGTGGAGTTTGAGAAACTTAGGGAAGATTTCTTTTTCAAGGCTGTGTTTGTGTGTGGCGGCCGTGGGGTGGGGGTTGGACGGGTTTTCCGACAAGGGCATGCGGCACTTAATGAAGGCATTTCCAGGGCGGCAGCCATGCGGGGACCATCCCTTTTGCAAGTGGGAATTGGGCTTCCCCAGAGAAACACGCACGGCACACCGAACTGTCCTCCTCTTTGCTTTTTGTGTGAAAAGTGGTCAAAACTGAGCTGCGGTGGAGAACACTAGGCTTGGAAGGGAATCACGTTTTTCCGATTTCTGTTTCGCGAGTCCACATTGTCTACGCCTTGACATTTAGATTATCTAGATTCTTCCTCTGCCCTTCCCCCATTCATTGGGGAAAACCTGGAATTTCATTCCTTTCTCTTCACTCGCTTCTAAAACCCTGTAGAATCGCCCTGGGAAAGTGACCTGTGACACTCAGGAATCCTCTCATACTTTTCTTTCTTTTTTTCTTTCTTTCTTTCTTTCTTTCTTTCTCTTTCTTTCTTTCTTTCTTTCTTTCTTTCTTTCTTTCTTTCTTTCTTTCTTTTCTTTTCTTTTCTTTTCTCTCTTGCTCTTGCTCTTGCTCTCTCTCTCTCTTTTTTCAAGCATCCTGTTGGTTGTTTGAGCTCCATCCTTCTGAACTGTGGGAAGACTGTGGGTCTCTGCCCTGCCCACACCGTCGCTCATGGCAGCTTTGTTTTCTGCTTGTCTTTTCTCCAAGGACATGATAGAAAGTGACATCTGGTCCATAATGTCAGGAATTATTCGAAACTCGGGGCAAAACCACCACCCCGCTCCCCAGGAATACAGGTGAGGGCTCCGACAATGACGGGCGGTAGATTTCGTGATTGTTGCCAGTGGAGATGTGCTGTGTATGTATGGTCTCTGAAAACTGTTGCTCCATTAAACTCTGCGATGGGGTAGGAGAGCCAGGAAGTCTCGATCTCACGGTTGGTCTCTCTACGGGTGTCTGGCTTGTAGCCTGGGGCAGTGGGGCCACTAAACGCCTGCAGTCTTTTGTCCCTTCCAAGAGAAGTCCTGTCCTGAGTCAGAGACTGGGCATCCTGGTGAATGCTAAGATGACACAAGCAGCCATGGCTTCCCCTCCAGGGGCCCTAATAGTGCTCCAGGAAATGCCCCCCAAAACGTGAGAGGTTGGCTCCCATCCTCCTTGGGTGAACCCTTGGGTTCCAAGCCTGGCTGTGTGACTTTGGGCAAGCCCCTTGCCCTCTCTGGGCCTCATTTCCTCATCAGTTCAATGATGCTCTTGAATTAGACGGTCTCGAGGTCTCTTCTAGGTCTCATGTATTTGAAGCATAAACTAGATGGAGACTGAGGCCAAAATAAATTACTTCTTCAGACAGAATGAAGTGAAATACAAGTGGGTGGGCGGGGAAGGCTTCACCTTTTTGTCTTCAGACCCCAGACCCAGAAAGGCCCTGAGGTGGGTCAACTAGTCCAGCCCCCTTCTTGTACTGACGGGGAAACAGGCCGACAGAGGAGAAGGGGCTTGTTCAAGGTCACGCAGCACGTGGGAGGGACTAGAGGAAAAAAGGAAGGGCTTGGAGCCCCCTCCCGGGCTCTCCCCCTGGAGCCCTGGGAGGCCTGACGTGGTCCCCAGCCCCACTCCCATGCAAGCACCGTGTCCGCGGGTGGAGGGGACAGCCCTGAGGATGGAGTGGGAACAGGACAGGGGTGGGCCTGAGCAGAGTACGCCATCCCTCATACCCCGCACCCCCGCCCCCAGTGCCCTGTGGGGGAAGACTGCCAGTGCCCTGTGGGGAAAGACCGCAGACCTCAGTCAGAGGGAGGCTGGCTCCCAAGACTCCGAGGAGGCACAAACTCAAACAAATATTTGCTAAGAACCTGCTGTGCACAGAGCTGAGACCCCAGATGTGGGCCAGGCACAAAGCAATTTGTGAGCACCTACTGTATGCCAGTGCCTCACCTCAGCCCTGTTGTGCAGGTGGGGAAACTGAGGCTCAGAGACACGAAATGGCGCTTCCCAAGACCACACAACCAAAGACCTCTGGGCTTCCCTCCAGTGCCGGGAAACAGTCAGGGGTGTCCCACCCGCGGCCCAGGGGCCGCATGCGGCCCGGGATGGCTATGAACACGGCCCAGCATAAAACCGCAAATTTACTTAAAACCTTTTCTTCGCTCATCAGTTCTCATTAGTGTTGGTGTATTTAGTGTGTGGCCCAGAGACGCCAACAGGCTAGACGCCCCCGGTTGATGGCAGGTGGAGTCGGGGAGGCCTGAGGGTTAGCAGCTTGGGCTCCGCCATCAGTCAGAACCCCAGCTTCTCTGGCTCTGGGGAGCTCCCCGGGCCTCTGTTGCCTCACCCATAAAACAGGGAGAGAAATGGCACCCACCACATTGGAGATGTTGCCAAGATTAAGTAACAATTTCTGGCTCTGCTCCTTGCCAGTTGTAGGATCCTGGGGGAGTGGTTGCCCAGCCTTTCTTATTCACAGGGTTTCAGGGCTATTCTCTTGTGTTAAAGAGCTAGCATGTCCGGAAGGCAGGATAACAACAACATCATCATCATCATCATCATCATCATCATCATCATCACTGGTGGTTTCTTAACCCATTATGACCGGTGCCACAACCAGCCATCAGAGTGGCACTGTTGTGCCCATTTGGCAGATGAGGAAACCAAGCCTCAGCCAGATGAAATGGCTTCACCAGATGGTGCAGCTAGGTGTGGGCACAGTGAAAACTTGAACCTGAGGTGACTGCACCCGGAGAGTATTGTGGCCACCACCTCCCAGGCCTCACTGGTGAGGGGCACGGGTGCTACCACCTCCCAGCTGTGTGACCCTGAACAAGTCGCCGTCTCTCTGTTCCTTGGTTTCTCCGTCTGTGCAATGGAGCAATGAGAGAACACAATGGGCAGGTTATTGGGGGAGATTCTGAGCCTCCGGCTAGATGCAGTGTTGAGCCAGAGCTTGGGACAGGGCGCTTGGAGGGGAAGTTTCTGTGATCACTCAGCAGCTCCCCCTCCCCTTGCAACCAATCCCATTGTTTCTCCCTGTATCGTAGCCCTAGAGAAGTTTGTGGTCTTCTCACCAGCCTCCCCACCCCGCCCCTGACACCTCCCAAGGACCACTCGGGCTGCAGGTCCAGCCCATCCGCAGCCCTCCACGCAGCCGCCTGTCCCTCCATCCCCAGGGGCGGGTTTAGCCGTTAACTTTCAATGACTGTGTTCTGGGAGGTGGGGGGAGTGGACAGCAGCTGGAGGCGGCAGCCCTGTCCCCAGGGAGCTGTCAGGAGTCAGTGGCTGGGCCTAGACAGCAAACTGGCAGCAGTCTCCCCGCCTGCCTGCGACACTGTGGCCAGGGGCCAGGGGGCGGGGCAGCCCTGACCTCCCGGGCAACGGCCAACAGCTCGTGCTCTGCGTGGGTTAGCTGCTTCCCGTTTCCAGGGCTCGGAGGGAAGTCCACTCTTAGCAATGCTGAGAAATAGGGTTATTTAAGCACCTGCTGTGTGCCAGGCACCTGCTAAGCCCCTCAGCAGGGGCACCGCCCCACTTTATCTTTGTGGGAACAACCAGGAGGAAGGTGCTGGCATTGTCCCACTTTGCAGAGGAGGGTGCGGCCAGCAGCCCAGCGCCAGGACTGGCCCAGAGGCGTGCATGCAGGAGGGAGCTGAAGTGCAGCTGCTAACCGCCTGCCTCCACTTCTGGAGTGTATTCCAGGGGCCAGGTCCAGCAATCTCCCGTTACAGATTGGGAAACTGAGGCCCAGAGAGGCAGGAGCAGGCTGGCTGCCAGCTCCTCACTCCCTCACCTTCCCCCAGGTCCATGCAGCTCAGTGGTTTTTCCTCACAGTCCTTGTGCTGGACCCTCTGTCCCTCCTCTAAGAAATTAGGTGACCTCGGGCAAAACCCCTTCTCCTCTCTGGACAGTGGTTTTCTCATCCGTGAGCCACAGCGCAAGACACACGGTAGATAATATGTTCGTTGGGTGGACGGACGGCTGGGGGGATGTCATGTGAGGTGTAACGTGTCCATGCGAATGCAGGGGGCCGTACTCACTCACAAGTGACGACAAAATCCTGCCGCACGGACCAGGTCAGGCGGACCCCACCTGCCTTTCCTCCACGCCTGCCCTTGAGCCGTGTGTGGGGACCGTTTTAGCGTGGCTCTGCCCACCAGTTGGAACCTCCTTGCAGGGGGCGTGGGGGCTCCATCTGTCAGGGGCGGTGACCTTCCCAACATCCTTACAATCCTTCACCCTCGCGGTGCCAGAACACCTCTGACTGTCCCATGGGCCGGGAGGAGAGGCAGCCCTCCTGCGGTCTGGCCTCTGGGGTCTCATGGTTCCACCCACCAAAACATGTCTTCATGTGCAGCCCTATGACACCAGCTTCTAGAAACCAAAGACTGCCTCTCCCACATCCAGTATAATCCTGTCACATTATGCCCGCTCTTGGCCCAGCTGGGAATTTCTGAGCTTGCTAGATTGCTTTTGGTTTTCTTTGTCCTGGAAATGCTACAAAAGATATGTTAGCCAAGTAAACAACTCCGTGAAATGCGTAATCCCTTGTGCGTAAAGGCTGGATTAGAAACAAGAACAGTTTGTGGGGATGTAACAGTTTCTTACTAACCACATCTGAGGAAGGCAGGTGAAACCTGCTCTGGTGACCAGAGTGGAGGTGACACCATGTCTCAGGGAGGGCCAGACGCGCCCCTGCACTGCTGGGGTGGTTATCTGACCCCCCAGCAGCGATACTTCCTGGCCAGACCCCTCCCGGTGACCATATCAGGCGAGAGGAGAGACCGCAGTGGGAAGGAAGAAAGGACCATGGTCTGAGCACCTGCTGTGTGCTGGGATCTACCCTCTGTGGTAGGAATCATTACCAGTACTCCATTCTACAGATGGGGAAACTGAGGTGCAGAGAGGCGAAGTGACTTTCCCAGGATCCCACAGCTAGAAAGGGATTGAGATGGGATTTGAATCCCAAACAGATGTTCCTGCTGCTGCTCCGGTGCTGTATCCACTTTCAGGAACCCCAAGAAAAGAAGGGTTCAGTGTGGTCTCCAGACCTCAGCTCTGTAGGCAAAGATGCCCGTAGGCGCTGGGATCCATCCACAAAAGCGTGTAGCCCTGTGCAGGAAGCGGCCACGCTCCTTCGCAAGCACGCCACCGCATTTCACCTTGGCAAACAGGGCAGTGGCTGTGGGGTCCAGCTCCTCGTGGGTGAACAAGTGTTTGTCCCATGAAAGAATGACAGTCCAGACTGGTCACTGAGTCTGTACTTGGGTGTAAGACCAAGTCGTCCCTGTCTTCCAGGAGTAAAAGTCATGGTGAGCTTGGAGGTTCGTGCTTTGTGTGGACACAAATAGCACAAATTATTCCAGGGGGTGATAGACTGGTAGATGCCAGACTGGTCTGGGAGGGCTTCCTGGGGGCAGTGGCATCTAAGCTGGGCAGATAATGGAAAGAGATCAGGGAATGCAAGATACGCTGGAGTTGGGGTGGGGGATCCTTCTTCCCTTTTATACTCCAGCCTCCAGCAGGTATGTAACAAATGCCCACAGGCTGCCAGCCTTGTTCTGGGTGCTGAAGGAAATGGAGGGCCCCCCATCCTTGCCCCCCTAGAGTGAAAGAGTGGAGACAGGTATAAGTGAACACCTCATTGCAACAGGAAGGACCACTAGGGTTTGGGGGTGGCCAGGAAGAACCTCTCAGAGGAAGGGATATTTAGGCTGAGACCAGAAGCATGAGAAAAAGCCAGCCATGAACCTGGAACGGCATTTCGGGCCTAAGGAACAGACAGCATGTGCAAAGAGAACTCAGAATG